GTGGAGTACAGAGGCTCACAGGAAAGGGGGAGGGGGATTTCTGCTCGACAAAACACATGGTTCCACCCATGTAACGTGATGACATCATCACGTCACCGTACGTGATGACGTAACTCGTTCAAAATCAAACGGCTCTTTTGAACGGCTCTATGAAACAAATGGCTCCCCAAGATCCGGATCTCTTCAAAGAGACATTTATCCCATCACTAAGTAACTCACTATTTTGAGTTAAAATTATGTGGCTTAAGTTGTCAATTTAAATTCCGAATTTGTTTTAACTTACATGATAGATAGTGTTACAAAAGTTAACAGACACCACAAGGTGTCAATACACCATATATTTGAGAGTGTAAATTTAACACTGAGTTAATGTCAAACTCTTACTTAGTAGTTAGTAGAAAAGTTAAACAGAGTCACCCTTCACACACCAGAACATACCTCTCACTCATGGTGTCGAGTTTTGGCCAATAACATAAACTTAAATATGAACAACTTGATAAAACTGAACAATAAAACTAACCAGAACAACAATTTTTTTACTTTCATGAACATCTTTAATGGTCATAAACATGCAAAAACATCATTTCTGCAAGATTTCTCAGCAAGGAATGCTGGATAAATGCTGGTCTGTCTGACATGAGGTGGAAGAGGGCGGGGCTTTTCCGAATACTGCTTTCAACACTGCATGGTGTCATTCTTAAAACTGATGACTTTCAAACCCAAGTTCAGTCAAATCATACAATTCCCAAATAGTTGACACAATGAATAACTTTAAGTTTTACTTTCCCGACTTTTTACCTCTCCTTTTTTTTTCAACTGGTGACTTACAAACTCAAGTTCAGCCAACACTTGCAAATCTGACAAATTTCTCAAATAGTTAACACAGTGGATAACTATAAATTTTATATTTTAAGACTCATAAAGTTGAGTTAAAAATCCAAAACTTGTCAGAGGTCTTTGTGTTAAAGAGAAGTAGTAATTGGGGGTAACTAAACATGGGTGAAACTTTTAACAGTGATTGAATTGAATTGAATTGAATTGAATTGAATTGAATTGAATTGAATTGAATTATGGTCAAAGGATTTCAATTGCAAGAGTCCCAATGTGGGCACAACTCACATTGGTTTTACAGCACCTGGTATTCCCAAGTGGTCTCCCAATCCAAGTACTAACCAGGCCCAACCTTGCTTACCTTTCCAGATCAGACAAGCTATGAGGTGTTCATGGTGGTATGGCCTATGTTACACTTAAACTGTTGACAGTATTTCTGCTGGTATACAATTGAGAAAATCCTAAACTTCTTGTTACCTTATTATGCTAAATAACTTCGATAGCATAGKTTTTTTCTGTTTCTCCCTCTGCTGTGGGGGGAACCTTGTTATGTTTGCTGAAAGCCAAACGTGCCGWGACTCAGCTTTGCAGTATGCTTTGAGCTTTCTTCAGATCTGTCTCTCACCACAGCCCTGCATCATATCACTGTTGTCAAGACAGCAGCTGGGCTATTTTGGGCAATTCCTCTGACACCACTTTCTCCCCCTGTGCATGGATGAAAGAGTTCWGAGTGGTCCTCCTTTATACCCGGCCCACCTGTTAGAGCTGTCCATCTCATTGCTGGCATGCCTGAACACACAAGGCTTCAACACCAGTTCTAATAACTGCACTTTAAATCCCCAACGGGTGGGCTGTGGAAGATCACGAGTGATATGTTAGACGCATTCACAGAGATGGCGTGAAATGAATCCTTTTATTTCCTTGTATTTTTGTTTTTGTTTTGTATTTTTACTGAGGCAAATTTAAATCTGTTGACATAAACTTTTGCCAGTTTTTTTGCATAATGTCACATCAGTATAACCCACATGGTTGTGATTATTTCTTGACTAGAGAATAATTCTTCTTTTTAATGCTGATTTTGCTGATTCAGGACATAATTTGCCCTTGACACACTAAAGTTCATGTCTGTAGCAAAAACATAGTTCACAATTGCAAAATTTATGTTGCCCAATGCTTCAGTTTGTGGGTTCAGATTCAGAAAGTCAGCATTTGAAAACACAAGGTTAAAATTTTATACTGGATTCATTCTAAGCTCAATGAATTTCAAACACTAGTCATTTTTGAGGCTTAAATACCAAATCCAGCTTTAAAACAACAACAAAAAATAAAAAAGGAAACTTGCTTTAACCTTCATACAATGAAAATGATTCTTTGCTAAATTTCTAATCAGATTTTCGTCAAGTGCTTTGTTGAAATACTGAAAAGTTGTGTTATCAAGTTAAAATGTTCAATGAATGGAAAAAAGATATGTGTTGAATTGAGGTGCCACCAGGGGTGTCAATAGGTTTTTAAGGACAAGGGGGGCTTAGCCCCCTGGAGACACAGAATTTTAGTATATAATATTTTTGTATTATGTGTCTGTGTGTGTGTATGTGTGTGTGTGTGTGTGTGTGTATATTATACATACATACATACATACATACATACATACATACATACATAC